GAAAAGCCAAACACCAGTAACTCCGACTGGAAGTCAGTGGGAGCTGTGGTTGCCCAGCATCTCTGAAAACTCAGACCCTGTGAATGTAAAGACACAAATGCTCGCATAAGCAATCAGTACAGAAAACCACTTTATCATTTCACAGGAGCTTATAATACAAAACACTGAGATCTGATTATCAGAAATGTAGGTCTATGTCAACTCAGAGGTAGTTACTAATATCAGTACATAATACTTATATAGACATAAAAAGGTCTAAGACTATTTGGTTTGTTCTGAGTAAGCAGGTCTTTAGACTAGTCTGTAAAGGAAAAACATTACATGGTATATTCCCTGAGCAAAGTTCTTTGTCCTGAGTATGGTATGTAATAGTGATAACATTCTAATATATAAAAATAAAACCTTAAGTTTTCAACAATAAGACAGGGTTTTGGTATGTGCTCTTAGCAGTTCAGTCTGACTTTGGTGCGCACAGCAATATCAAACAGCACCAGTAAAAACCTGCGTGTTGAAAATATTTCCTTGTCTCAGCTCTGAACTTCTTACATATAAACAGGGAATGACCAGTTTTCAAATCCACAACTGCCTATTTCTATAAGGAACTTTGGTTTAAATTTTCAAAGTGACCTAAGTTTTGCATCTTTGCTGTTTAAGCTGGTTTTCACACCGGCTAGAAGATTAAGCAATGCCACTTTGATTTGTCTACATAATTTAAATAAGTTTACTATCCTCACATAAGGCAAGGACGTTCTTCTCTATAGATATATCACATTCAATATCGTCAAAGGTAAGCTTTGCATTAGCATATTGAGAACTTCAGTATAAACCATCGAGATTCTCGCAAACACTGGCAAGGAATTCACACAAAATAATTTTCTGGAAATTGTGCGCTTCACCAAGGCGTCTGATTAATACCTGTTTACTGAAGCAGCAGCAGCAACAGTAAAAGCCTCCTCCGGCAGGACAAGAGGGAAGGGGACGGCCACGGGATGAGCCAGCTGTGTACCTGCTGTAACTAGCAGCTGCAGAGGAGCGACCACGGGTGGGGCTGCGTCTCGCCCGCTCCCACGCGGGCTGCTCCTCCGGTCTGATTAGCCGAGCTTAAACCTACCCGACTCTTTCAAGCTTCAGCAGCCCGTGTTTATTGCCAATGTTAATGATCATACAGGTTTCTCTAATTAACTTACATCCGCAATGGGATTTGTCAAAGTACGTTATCTTACGTATGACTTGGTAATTCAGGAGTTACAAATGGAAAGCGACTTGGAGTTTTGATAGGCTCCAATTCTATTAACCCCAAGCAAGGGCTGCAGCCCAGGGAGTCTCACTCTGAGGCCACCAATCCTTCTCCTTTTTAGTGTGTGGTCCCAGCACACTCCGGACCAAGGCTGGTCAGCAACAGTCTCCGGCTTCACAAGAAGCAGATGATGCAAATTTTCAGGTCCCCTCACTCAGGCTTGTCTGCAGCAGCCACCCATCCACCCTGACCGTACACATGCTGTACCATCAGCCAGGGAGGCTGGCTTAGCAACCCCAAGTACCCATCTGCTTTTATTCTTAAAGAAACTACTTACCCCAGGATCTCATTAGCTTTGTATTTTGTTTTCTTTATAAACTAAAACAAACAACAAAAATTCCTAGGGAGTTCCCTCCATGGCATTTCAACAGAAAACAAGGGGAAAGTCCCTTTAAATTGTGAGGTAATACTTGGGACCAAGAGAATTTGCTGCTGCTGCTGCTACTACTGCTACAAAGGTCCCCTAAATGTTCACAGAATACAAAGGGTTAAACAGGATGGTATCCTGATACCACTCAAAAGGGTCTGTTTGGTAACAACTTATACATTCTCCCCTACACAACAGTCATCTAAATCACAGTTACAACCATATCAAGTCAACAAAACATTTTGAGAAACCAGTACAGAAACTACACATTCATTGTCTTTTCTGGAGCCACGGCACTGCCCTGCACAGGCACAGGGAGGGGAGAGATTTTAATACTCTGTGGAGATGAGAAAGAAAATAAATTGATGATATGGGGGATGTCTTAGTATCTTTAGTACCATATGGCAGCTTTAAAATATGAAAGTATGCTTTGGTTCACAGAGAAATAACAGTCTTGATCTCAGTTCTGTGAGTGATTTATCAGGTTTTTGGTTTGTTTCTGACTTGAGGTTTCTTGGGTTTTCTTGTTTGGTTTGCTTTTTTTTTTTTTGAACAAGTTTGAGAACACATTCTAGGAATGAGTTCAAGAACATTTGTGGATCTGTGCCTATTGCTTCACAGTAATGTCTTGTAGGACCTGGAGAGTGATCTGATGGAAAAAAAAAGATATGTACACATACACACACGCACGTGCGCACTCATACACACACATACAAAAGGTAAAACGTAATGCACCCTGCTCAAACGTATTTTGCTTGGAGTGATTTGTCTATTGAAGAAAAAAAAAAAAATTCACAGTTCCTCAACAGTAGTTAAAATTCCAGGTCAGCTACTGGTAGTGAAATTATTTCCCCTGTATTTGCATGAGGTAGACATCCCAAGAGGATAAAGAAAATGGAAAGTTATGACAAATGGTTTAAGTTTTTTTCCTTTTCTGAACAGAAGGCCCCTTTCTGCTTGGTTCTTCGGGCGACGCAGACAACTTGCTCGACGAAGCTTCCTGTGGTGACCTGCCCGAGCGCTCCGAGATCTCCGACCTGCCCTCCTGAGAGCAGGACGGAGACGAGTAGCCG